ATCTTCTTACTTACCTTACAGAATTCTCTCCAATAAATACCCCATATTCCCCATAATTTTCCCCACATAAAAGGTTAGTTGATTTTTTTCCCTTTATTTTATTTCTTTTCTTTTTTTCCTTTCTTTCTTTTTTTCTTTTTTTTTTCTTTCTTTTTTCTCCTCCTTACGTGAGGAAGCTTGGCTGTTCCCACCTGCCACCTACTGCCAGCGGAACCCACCTGCTGTCGTCACCAGCAAGTGACCGTCGACCACCACCCGCGCCTGCCGCTGCAACCATTGCCAACCACCTTGCTTTCTCCCCTTTTATTTTCTTATGTTGCTTAAAATTATTAGTTTTGTTTATGTTTGATTTTGTAGTATAAAGATTATATTTTTAGTATCAAATTCATATTTTTAATAGTCTAAAATTATAATTTCAGATTATAATTGTGTTGTAAATTTTCAGATTTTGTAATTATAAAACCTAGGGTTTTAATTTATTGAAATTGGGGTTTTAGGGTTCTTATGACTAATTGAATTGGGGCTTTTGTTCCAATTGTATTACTAATGGTTAATTTAGCATAAAAACATGTTTTAAAGGAAGTTTTAAGGAGTTTTAATTAAATTTATATTGCTGGAAACATTTGGTTATCATGGACTATGGAGGTTGACAATGAAGGAGAGCTAGAGAGATTATTAAGTGCCTTCTTAATTGAACCGTCCACATATTTGAGGAAATTAGAGAAAAGCAAGTTGAGGATAAATTATTGAAGAAATATGAGATGGTAAGAAAGTGCCTAATGAGTTTTTTTATTAATTGAGGTGAGTTACGGGGGCGTAACTCTTTTCTTTAAGAGGGGTAAAATGCGATATAATTTCGCTCTTTTTACAGCAATACATGCTATTTATTGCTTAATTTTGCATGATTTTTCTTGTTATTGCTAAATAGTATTGTGTTTACATGTAATTAAGTTATGTAAACTTTGGCCAATTACGAGTATATAAAGTATAAAGTTCAGTTTGTTGAGTATACATGTTGAGGATCAAGCATTTTACAGCAATATAAAACACAAAAGTTTGAATAGTTTTGGAGAAATTATTGTTTTTGGTTAAGTTTTGGGGACGAAACTTCTTTTAAGGGGAATATATTGTAATCTCCCGTATTTTTAAATATTTTATAAATGAAAATTTATTTTATTTATAACATTTAATTGTACTTTTCCGAAATTTAATTTCAAAAATTTCAAATTATTAATATAGGTCAAAAAGTTTTTTAGCACAAACTATTTTATGAACCTATATTCTACAATTCATGATCATACAAGCAAAGCCTAGTCCTTTTCATTTACCTAATTGACCCATTAATTTTATGAGGCCTAATCTTCTTACTTACCTTACAGAATTCTCTCCAATAAATACCCCATATTCCCCATAATTTTCCCCACATAAAAGGTTAGTTGATTTTTTTCCCTTTATTTTATTTCTTTTCTTTTTTTCCTTTCTTTCTTTTTTTCTTTTTTTTTTCTTTCTTTTTTCTCCTCCTTACGTGAGGAAGCTTGGCTGTTCCCACCTGCCACCTACTGCCAGCGGAACCCACCTGCTGTCGTCACCAGCAAGTGACCGTCGACCACCACCCGCGCCTGCCGCTGCAACCATTGCCAACCACCTTGCTTTCTCCCCTTTTATTTTCTTATGTTGCTTAAAATTATTAGTTTTGTTTATGTTTGATTTTGTAGTATAAAGATTATATTTTTAGTATCAAATTCATATTTTTAATAGTCTAAAATTATAATTTCAGATTATAATTGTGTTGTAAATTTTCAGATTTTGTAATTATAAAACCTAGGGTTTTAATTTATTGAAATTGGGGTTTTAGGGTTCTTATGACTAATTGAATTGGGGCTTTTGTTCCAATTGTATTACTAATGGTTAATTTAGCATAAAAACATGTTTTAAAGGAAGTTTTAAGGAGTTTTAATTAAATTTATATTGCTGGAAACATTTGGTTATCATGGACTATGGAGGTTGACAATGAAGGAGAGCTAGAGAGATTATTAAGTGCCTTCTTAATTGAACCGTCCACATATTTGAGGAAATTAGAGAAAAGCAAGTTGAGGATAAATTATTGAAGAAATATGAGATGGTAAGAAAGTGCCTAATGAGTTTTTTTATTAATTGAGGTGAGTTACGGGGGCGTAACTCTTTTCTTTAAGAGGGGTAAAATGCGATATAATTTCGCTCTTTTTACAGCAATACATGCTATTTATTGCTTAATTTTGCATGATTTTTCTTGTTATTGCTAAATAGTATTGTGTTTACATGTAATTAAGTTATGTAAACTTTGGCCAATTACGAGTATATAAAGTATAAAGTTCAGTTTGTTGAGTATACATGTTGAGGATCAAGCATTTTACAGCAATATAAAACACAAAAGTTTGAATAGTTTTGGAGAAATTATTGTTTTTGGTTAAGTTTTGGGGACGAAACTTCTTTTAAGGGGAATATATTGTAATCTCCCGTATTTTTAAATATTTTATAAATGAAAATTTATTTTATTTATAACATTTAATTGTACTTTTCCGAAATTTAATTTCAAAAATTTCAAATTATTAATATAGGTCAAAAAGTTTTTTAGCACAAACTATTTTATGAACCTATATTCTACAATTCATGATCATACAAGCAAAGCCTAGTCCTTTTCATTTACCTAATTGACCCATTAATTTTATGAGGCCTAATCTTCTTACTTACCTTACAGAATTCTCTCCAATAAATACCCCATATTCCCCATAATTTTCCCCACATAAAAGGTTAGTTGATTTTTTTCCCTTTATTTTATTTCTTTTCTTTTTTTCCTTTCTTTCTTTTTTTCTTTTTTTTTTTCTTTCTTTTTTCTCCTCCTTACGTGAGGAAGCTTGGCTGTTCCCACCTGCCACCTACTGCCAGCGGAACCCACCTGCTGTCGTCACCAGCAAGTGACCGTCGACCACCACCCGCGCCTGCCGCTGCAACCATTGCCAACCACCTTGCTTTCTCCCCTTTTATTTTCTTATGTTGCTTAAAATTATTAGTTTTGTTTATGTTTGATTTTGTAGTATAAAGATTATATTTTTAGTATCAAATTCATATTTTTAATAGTCTAAAATTATAATTTCAGATTATAATTGTGTTGTAAATTTTCAGATTTTGTAATTATAAAACCTAGGGTTTTAATTTATTGAAATTGGGGTTTTAGGGTTCTTATGACTAATTGAATTGGGGCTTTTGTTCCAATTGTATTACTAATGGTTAATTTAGCATAAAAACATGTTTTAAAGGAAGTTTTAAGGAGTTTTAATTAAATTTATATTGCTGGAAACATTTGGTTATCATGGACTATGGAGGTTGACAATGAAGGAGAGCTAGAGAGATTATTAAGTGCCTTCTTAATTGAACCGTCCACATATTTGAGGAAATTAGAGAAAAGCAAGTTGAGGATAAATTATTGAAGAAATATGAGATGGTAAGAAAGTGCCTAATGAGTTTTTTTATTAATTGAGGTGAGTTACGGGGGCGTAACTCTTTTCTTTAAGAGGGGTAAAATGCGATATAATTTCGCTCTTTTTACAGCAATACATGCTATTTATTGCTTAATTTTGCATGATTTTTCTTGTTATTGCTAAATAGTATTGTGTTTACATGTAATTAAGTTATGTAAACTTTGGCCAATTACGAGTATATAAAGTATAAAGTTCAGTTTGTTGAGTATACATGTTGAGGATCAAGCATTTTACAGCAATATAAAACACAAAAGTTTGAATAGTTTTGGAGAAATTATTGTTTTTGGTTAAGTTTTGGGGACGAAACTTCTTTTAAGGGGAATATATTGTAATCTCCCGTATTTTTAAATATTTTATAAATGAAAATTTATTTTATTTATAACATTTAATTGTACTTTTCCGAAATTTAATTTCAAAAATTTCAAATTATTAATATAGGTCAAAAAGTTTTTTAGCACAAACTATTTTATGAACCTATATTCTACAATTCATGATCATACAAGCAAAGCCTAGTCCTTTTCATTTACCTAATTGACCCATTAATTTTATGAGGCCTAATCTTCTTACTTACCTTACAGAATTCTCTCCAATAAATACCCCATATTCCCCATAATTTTCCCCACATAAAAGGTTAGTTGATTTTTTTCCCTTTATTTTATTTCTTTTCTTTTTTTCCTTTCTTTCTTTTTTTCTTTTTTTTTTCTTTCTTTTTTCTCCTCCTTACGTGAGGAAGCTTGGCTGTTCCCACCTGCCACCTACTGCCAGCGGAACCCACCTGCTGTCGTCACCAGCAAGTGACCGTCGACCACCACCCGCGCCTGCCGCTGCAACCATTGCCAACCACCTTGCTTTCTCCCCTTTTATTTTCTTATGTTGCTTAAAATTATTAGTTTTGTTTATGTTTGATTTTGTAGTATAAAGATTATATTTTTAGTATCAAATTCATATTTTTAATAGTCTAAAATTATAATTTCAGATTATAATTGTGTTGTAAATTTTCAGATTTTGTAATTATAAAACCTAGGGTTTTAATTTATTGAAATTGGGGTTTTAGGGTTCTTATGACTAATTGAATTGGGGCTTTTGTTCCAATTGTATTACTAATGGTTAATTTAGCATAAAAACATGTTTTAAAGGAAGTTTTAAGGAGTTTTAATTAAATTTATATTGCTGGAATTTTATTTAAAGAAGTAGTGTTGTGATTTCAATAAAAGGGGTTTGATTACCCATTAAAAGAGAGATTAATTAAGGGTTTTTAAATAATTTTCTGATTTTTATAAAGTTTTAAACTTGCTGTAATTCCATGAAAAAGGTGTATTTTAAGGTTTTCATGAAAGAAATTTAAAGAACTATATATAAACTTTTAATTTTAATTAAAGGGAAGGTTTAATGTTGTTTATTAATTTGATTTTAAAGGTCTTAAAGTAAGTTAATATTGCTGTAAATTTGATTGTTTGAGAATTGATTGAAGTTTTATTGTTTGGTTTAGGAGAGGAGTTTATTGAAGGTGATTTCTAGTTAGTAAAATGGCATACCAACTTGCTTACTCAAGGTACGTACGAGCTACGAAACCTTGGCTTTAGATCACTACTACAAATCCCTTGGTTTTTGGATGCCATTGGTTCGACGCTATGTATGGAGTGTCCACGTATAAAAGAATTCCCACTTATTTTCGACGCTTTTACATGTTAAATCAGTTCTTGACAAGATAAAGCGACGACAAATTCGTATGATTTGCACGTGACTCAAGGCAACCTAAGGAAAATTAAAAAGAAAACAAAAAAGAAATGTTAAAAACTGGCTTATACCCAGGCCACGAATATACCCAAAGTACTCTCTCTCTCTCTCTCTCTCTCTCTCTCTCTATAACTCTTAGATCCCAGCACCTCAACACAAACTCCTTCGTCACCGAAATTCTCTTCGATCTCTCAATTTCTGGATTTTCTCTCCTCTTCTCAATCATGGTGCTCGAGGTTTTTCCTTCTACTCAATCTCATATTAAATTGCTTCCTACAACAATTTCAAAATTAGGGTTTTCAATTTTACTGACATTTTGTTATTCCCCCTTTTTATTAGAATTCTCAGGCAACTATAATCTGCATCATCAATCCGGAGTGGATGCGTAATGGTGATTACTCGCCCACCAGATTTCAAGCTCTTTCTGATGCTGTTAATCTCATCTGCGGCGCTAAAACTCAGGTTTTCTTTCTCTCTCATCACTTCTTTTAAACCCTAATTTACAAGTTGGGGGTTGAATTTGTTATCAATAGTGTTTTTTTTATGAATTTGGTAGTTAATTGTGGATATTACTTGATTGGTTTTGATGTTATTGATTGATTTCGTGTAGTCTAATCCGGAGAACACTGTCGGAATTCTGACTATGGATGGAAAAGGTGTTCGTGTTTTGGTCACTCCCACCAGTGATCTTGGAACAAATGATATTGGCTTGTATGCACGGTTAGTTTTCGTTTGATATATCGTGAATTGATTAACATAAATCTTGATTATGCATGTTATTGAATATGTTGTTGTGAATGCATGATTAGAAAGCATGGCTTTTTTAAAAACTTTTGTAGCATGTAACTTAGCTGACTTGAGGATTATCACATTACATCTAGTTAGGTTGATTTTAGGGGTAGAAGAAATTGATAGGTTGGATGGCATTTGGTTTCCGATCGTATTAGAATATGAAAATGCCTGGTTGTTATGTTAAGTCAGTGGCCATTGAACATAATTAGTCCATGGCTAATATATGTTGATCGATGAAATTGGTACAAGGTGAATGACTATTTTCATAATTTCGTGCTAAAATACCGTAGAATTAGTTTGTTACATTTAATTGTTGTGAAATAGCTTTGAATTTGTAGTTATTATATAATAGTAGAAAGCCATTGTATTAGAATCTAGGGATTTTTTGTATGTCGTGTTTGGTTGTTGATTTTGGCCTGTCTTAGAAATTCATGTTTTTTTTTCCCAATTTTGGGTCTAATTGCAATTCTTTGAGAAATACTTTGTGGGTGTTTCGCTTTAATTTAGGGTTCTAATTGCTTAGCATTCATACACCTTTATCTCTGATTGTTCTTCTTCATCCCTTAATCTCTCGTTTCTGTCCTTCAATATCTCTGTTTGGTTATTTTTTTTTTATTTTTGAGGAAAAATCTATGTTTGGTTACAAATCTAAGCTAATTCATAGCATTTTGATATTTGCAGGCAGGGGAAAAGAATATTGGGAGTGAAAAGGGTAGCAAATAGCACCGGATTGTTTTAGAAATGGTTCTTTGTTGCCTGAGGTCAAGGATCCAAGGCAGATTTAATTTAGTTGGTTGTTTGTAGGAGCTAATGTTGTACTATGTGCTGCCCTCTGTTGGAGGGCTTTGTAATTGGAGTGCTCTTTTACGCAGGACCATTGTTTAAGATGGACTTTTCGAATCATCCATGTTCGTGGCCGGCTTGCTATCGATGATGATTTAGTCTGCCACATGGTCCAAACAAAAAGAAGATGCCACCTCCCGATGTGGCTTGCATCTTGCAAGCATTCGCTACCTACATAGGAGGATGGTGATTCTTCTTGCATGATCCTCTGTAACTCATAATAGCTTAACTTTTTAGCTCTTTTACTCAGCACTCTTGTGGTTTTTTGCTTTTACAGGTACACCAGACTGTATTTTCTGCTCCTACACCTATTCAAGCACAGTCATGGCCAATTTCAATGCAAGGTCAAGATATTGTGGCAACTGCTCAGATGGGTTCTGGAAAGACCTTAGGCTATCTTCTTCCAGGTTTTATGCATCTCAAGCAGTGCCGCAACAATACACAAATGGCACCAACCATGTTAGTACTGTCACCGACAAGGGAATTGGCAACACAGATTCAAGATGAGGCAGTGAAATTTGGGAGGTCCTCCAGAATATCTTGCACGGTATGACGTGATCTTTGTTTCGATAAATGTATTTACGTTGTCTTGCTTGATTATTTTTGGTGAGGGCACATCTACTTAATTGGATGTTGAACATAAATTTTGTTTGTTTCTTTTGAATCTGTTCTTAAATTAGGAATCTCTTTAGTATGTATTTTAATCTATATAGCAATATTCTTTTTTTCAGTTTTTGTTTTCAAAACTTGATATTCGAGTTATATGAATTACTACTATTTCGAGTAGAATTTTTGGGATGAATTTGATAAAATGGTCTGGGTCATTGTTGTGGTAAGTTTTGGCTGGAGTCGTATGCCATTTTATATTGTTAATTTTTCATGAGTATCTTTTTAGAAGTACTGACTAGTAACCATATCAATCCCACTCCCATACATATACCTTGTGCTTGCTTATTTGTGCTGCTGTAATCGAGTATATATGGAATTGTTTCATCTCACAAAGTTATACCCTTATTTAATCTTGCAGTGTTTGTATGGAGGGGAACCCAAAGGCCCACAATTGAAGGAGTTAGATACAGGATTAGATATTGTGATAGCTACACCTGGTCGTTTGAATGATATACTAGAGACAAAGAGAATTAGCTTGAATCAGGTCTCATATTTGGTGCTTGATGAGGCAGATCGGATGCTGGACATGGGTTTTGAGCCACAAATTAGAAAAATTGTGAAGGAGGTACCCACTCGTCGCCAGACATTGATGTATACTGCAACATGGCCTAAAGAGGTGTGAAAGATTGCAGCTAATCTATTATCAAATGCTGTCCAAGTTAATATTGGTAACACAGATGAACTTGTTGCAAACAAGTCTATCACTCAGGTAAATACCAATCTTTTTTTTTTCTTATTAAAGCAATTTAAATAGGTAACTTGCTATTGGCATTTAATTACTAGTTTCCATTGTGTGCTTATTTGTTTTCCAACAATGCTTAATTCTGTTTATTGAGGAGCTTTGGACCCTACTTTTTCCCTGGAACAAATGGAACAAAAAAATTTTAAGGTCAAAGAAGAAGTTTTTAGCCGCATTTTATCGGTGTTTTGCTGGTATAACAGACAATTTTTGTAAAAAGATTTGATTTTTTTTAATGCTATGCAGGGATTTGGAGGCTTTGACTACAAAATGTGAGCTTAGGGAGGAAGAGAGAGGTTCCTGTATAGTGGTATACTACTATAGGTATATATTCTCCAAAGTCTAAAAGGTTAATGGATTTTTTTTCCTCTTTGGATTGCAAGTCTGAGCATTTTGTCAAAATTTGAACTTTGTTTTTCTCCCACTTGAAAGCAGATTAAGAAACCATACTTGTGGCTTTCGACGACTAGACGTGTAACGTGAATAGTCAAGAAGAAAAAAGGTAATTTACCATCCTCTCTTTTTTTATCTTAGCTCTGCATATTTACCTATTATTTATATTCATTGCAGAAATTATAACTTAAGATTTTGATAATACTGGCAAATGATGTCTTGTCTTCTAAGTGTATGGGTGTCTGGATACTTTTGGTAAGTTTGTAACTCCATAATTAGCTATGAACGTTGGTTGTGATTTTTGTTTGCTTAAATTATTAGGTGGAAAGTGTAGACACCTACTTTAGGCCTCTTGTCCCGAAAGGAAGTGCGATGATGTTACAAAAATCCGTTCTTCATGTTAGATCAAAGTTGAAGTGTTTATGGACCATGAAAAGCATTATGAAGTAGGTTAAAACCCATATTTGAGACCAAGTTATCATAGATCCTTTTCCAATTACTAATTAGGCCTAAAACGTGTTCATACATGTTTAAACTTGATTAATAACGGACCCAAATGCGTCAAATGCAATGATCGGATCCAATAGAACCTACATTGTTTAAAAACCGAGCCAAACAGATGAACCAACTATCAAATTCCCATGCAAGGCCTATAAAAATTGATAACCCTTTCAAAGAGCTTTCTAACGGTATATTATAAGTCCAATTCCGAGCTAAAACGAAGAAGTTATGATCAAAACACTAAACCGGGCCCTAAAACCGACACCCTTGCACTATAACGGCCATAAATTGAATAAATAGTGTTGTTTGATCACTTTAAACAATCTTTTACTTAATTCACATAGTATTCTTTTTTTAATCAAGAATAAAATTTGATAATTAATTGTTGTTTTATCGCTTAAGACAAGGCGAATATTGTTTATTTTGTTATTTTCACGAATATTGATTAAACAAAGAATAACGACTTTTGCAATGTAATTCCTACGTGATTAATGCTTGTAAATAAAATCAACTAACTTAGTCTTTAGGTATCACGTTGCATATATTGTTTGGTAATGAAATTGTGAAAAAGGAAGAGCTAGTAGAGGCCGTAGTAGGGCTAAGATAGCGATTCCCCTCTAAAGGGTAGTTATCTTAGTACCCTCGCTCCCGAACTCATTTCTGGTTTATGTAGACCAATTTGGGCATGGGTAAACTTATGATTCGTACTAATTATTCCATGAACTCCACATGGAAGAAAGGCATGAACGAGGTTTATGAGTTTTCCTAAAACTCATTGGCGACTCCTACTTGTTTCTTACAAAAAAAGCGTGATGAGAGTATCATTCCTAATTCAAGGTCTCCCAAACAGTCAGGAATTCAAATCCTAATACAACCTAACAAGTGTAAAGTCCTAGGCTTCTAAAGGGTCATGGGCAGTTAAGGAAGGACCCCCTTACGATGGGATCACCCTCCTTACAGTGGCGACTCCACTGGGGACTTAGAGGTTACAAGATTAGTTCGTAGTTATGGTTCAAGGTTTCCAACACTAGGTTGCCTATGGATTGTAACGAGAACTAACTTGGATAATCTCTAGTTAGAGAGCGATATTCGAACGCATAATATCTTTCTTTTTCACAAAAGTAAAAATCAAACAAGCAACATTGCATCATGCATAATCATAGCACAGTTTAATCATTGGGGATTGGCTCATTGACTAGGGGTTACCAACACTATACTTCTATCCCAAAATCAATAACAATCAACCCACCCATATCGCCAACAAAATGTTGGGAGGGCTATGTCGTGGGTCAACACGTTGAGTGATTGATTCATGCATCGTCCCTAGAATGACATTGTATGCTTTGACGGTTCTTTGTGTGCTTATGTGACTACATGAATATGTGCTTCGTTTCTAATCTAACTAATTCCAACTTGTTACCTAGAGATATAATAAAAAAAAATTCGCAAAAAATATGGTTCGACAAAAAAAAAAAAAAATTATTGTTCTTTTTGCGTTTTCGCAAAAAAATAAAATAAAATAAAATAAAATAAAAAACGCAAGTGGTAGATGCTACTTTTGAAGATGCACTTTCCACTTTAGCGCAAGACGGAAAATTGTGCGCAATACTGTTTTTTATTATAATGATTCGTTCACTTTCTTTATAATCGAACTAATGGCATTACTTCTTATGAGGTTCGTCGTTAGAAGTTCGCATCCCTTAATAGGACGTCATCAATATATTTATTCTTAAATGTGCCTATTTTCGTGTTCATCATGTTTTAGTTGTAATTGATCAACCTTGATTTAAGAGTATAATTTATTTACCTCTTCTATTGTTTAAAAAGAAAATCCCGAGAACTTTAGTTGGGATGATTGCCTCACACAAAAAAAAAAAAAAGAGAAATAGAACGGAAAAAAAAAAGAGAGAGAGTATGATACAAAAAAAATATATTATTCTAAAAAAAAAAGAGATAATGAATGATAAAACCGAGAAAATGATTTAATTATTTCCTGGATTTTACATTCGGAGGCCATAATTGTTTTAAAACAAATAGTAATATATTATCCTTTAAAGATAAGCAATATGAGAATCATAATTAAAAAAAAAAACGTTATTGATCTCTATTGTAATCTAAATTATCAACAAATACTATAGTATATTTGATCATTTTAAGGAGTGTGTTCGGGTCGATTAATATTTCTAAAAATTTGATGCGCACTTTCAATCCAACTTTCTTCTCTTTCTCTTCTACCTTTTTCGAAAACAATTCATTTGAAGTAAAATCCTTAGATGATTACCTTGTTGAAGTCAACACAAATCATGACATTCCATTAATGATTGTTCGTGAATTTGTTTTGACATTCTTCATCAACAAACTTGCTTAAAGTGAATTCGTATTACAAGGATTAAGAAAAAAGAAATAAAACAATCATTTTGACTTTGGTTCATTGTTTGAATGCTTGGCAGAAAAGGTTTAAGTGAACGCGCTCAATTTCTCGTGAAACACATTACTAGATCATCTTCCACATTCGCATACTAGTTCAATCATGGGTGACAAAGCAGCATTGGAGAAACTTAGAGAGGAACACCAAAACCTAAAGGCCCTACGAGAAGAAGAAGCCCAAATGAAGGCTCATAAAAAAGCAGAAAAGGCTAAAATAAAAACAAAAAAAGAAAAAGAAAACATTTTGCAAGAAAAGGCAAGAGCCGAAAGAGTAGAGGCCTTGGAGAAATTTGTCCTTCGAGCTAACTAAAGGAATAAGTACTTCAATTATGAGCTTGCACCACAACCTAGTGGCAAGACTCTCCCAGAAAAGTTCTTGACTACGGATATGCAAACCTTTAAGGTTATAGACAATCCTAGGACTCACTTAATGAGCTTTATTGGAATTATGGCATTGAAAGGGGTTGAGCCAAGCCTATATGCATGTACCTTTCCTCTTTCATTGGACCCAACTGCTAGATCATGGTTTTATAACCTCAATGCAAAACAAATTTCCACTTGGAGTGACGTTGTAGAAGCGTTTTTAACCCAATATGGAGATAACATCGAGCTCACAACTACCTTGTGCGATCTCGAATTGCTTAAGCAAGGGGAAAAATAAAGCTTCATTCACTTCTTTTCTAGGTGGCGATCAAAGGTTGCTCTTATTACACAAAGACCTCCGGATCATGAACTTGTCAGAAAGTTCAAAGACAATATGTCTCCCCCATACAAGTGCCATCTACAATACCGTGGTTTAGACACATTTCAAAAAGTCTATACTGTGGGAATATTAATTGAAAGGGACTTGATAAATGAAACCATGAATCATATAGATGGACTTGATTTTTAGAGAGTATTTCACCTACGTCGGAAATGGACAAAGCTCGAAGACGCGATCTCAAGAAGTTGTCAACAATTCAAGATGTAGCACCCTAGGTCTTGTTTTGTTTCTTTCCTTTGTTTTTATGATAGACTAAGAGATTCATGTTGTCAAATCTACTTATTTTGTACTCTCATTAATTAGTGAATAAAAAATATATTTTCAAGTACGTCTATCTTGTTCCCTTTTCAATCTCTTTATTGTTATTGGCTCACATTAAATAAAACGTAAACATACAAACATGCAATATCAAAAAGCATACATACTCAACACTTTAAAGAATCTTGATGAGCTTTGGCTTACAAGATGTATTGAATGAAAAGAGGCCCATCTTAGGCCCACAAAGAAAGGATATGATGACTTCACTAACACAGAAGGCAACTTGAAACTCCACAAATATAATCCCATGTTTATAACCTTAGAGAAAATCCATGTTTTTGGCAGCCCTTTTCAGCCTCGTCAATTGAGCCTTAGTTATTCAACCTACATTATTCCATACCTTGGGATGGGAATGGTGCAAAGATACTAATAGGAAATTGGGGGAACGAAGCATAAGAGGGGGACACAAAGTTAGTCTAAACCCAAAAGAAAAGATCAAAAAATCGTTCTAAACCCTAAAACAAAAGTTGTCGAAAAAAAAAGAAAAAGAAAGAAAAAAAACAGAGATGACTAGGAAAAGGCACCTAATGTAGGACGTTGCCACACAAAGCAAAAATGTTTTAATTTAAAAAGCACCAAAAGTTGGGATTTTGGGAGTATACTTGAGCCCATCCATTCTTCATAACCCCAAACCTAGCCACGTTACAACCTTGGAAAGGCCTTCCTTGAGGTAGACTATAACCATGTACATAAATCATCATTCCATGAAAATATGGTCAACCTTAGGCCTTTGCACATATGGACCTACTATTGAGTAGTCATGCCCATATATAAAATGCATGAAGTGTTGAGTTATGATTACAAAATCATAAAAAAAAATCAAATGATTTGGATGATTTGATAGCCATTGGCTTGATGACATCATGTTAGTAAAGCAATCGAATCAAACTAAATTCGATGTTTTCCATATCTTTTGCCAAAGAAAAATGAGATGATTATCACTTTTAAAAAAACAAACAATCATCTTATTTTCTTTTAATAATAGGGCTATTTATTACCAAGGTAATTCAGGTTCTATATACATTGCCTAGAAAGAAAAAGAGTTAATACGATAAATTGATTTGATATATCGACAGCCTCGACATCAACTTTAGATGTCTTTTACAACTCTTGAGAATTGGTCTTTTCACTTGTCATGAGCAACTAAAATGTCCGCCTACGTGGGATATCTCCATCTTCTCTGAGCGAGGAATATTGATTGAACATGATCGCTACATCAAAAAAATGATCGTTATGGCTATCATATGTATACCTCACTGCCAAGTCATCACGATGATTCAAATATTAAGTCAATTATCCTTGCTTTTCGAAAACATGTTTAATTTTCTTTCTTTATTCTTCTATGGGAAAGTTGGATTCCCCTTCCTTTTTATACAAATTCATCTTTTTTGTTCATTTCTTTTTTCAGGGGTAAGTCGGGATGATCCCTCCCATTTGGCAACTAAAATACTCAAAAATAGTATAATTTTTTTGCTCTTTGCCTCAAATTGGGGGCTTAAAAAAGACAGGACATCCCCACTTCTCTCTATTAACAGATTTGAACATGCTTTTTATGCTGCAAAATCAATATCATGAAAAGCTTATTACGAATCATCTTAATAACTTTAAATGACAAAGGGAAGAATACCACTTCATAAAGATAATTAATTTTGAGTGTTCAAATCTAATTAATTATGTTACTTGATCAAACAATTTATGATAAACATATGCAATATTCCGCAAATTGAAAATACAAATCTTGGTGCCTTAAGTAAACATGAGAAACATCCTCTATGAATTCCAAAAGCCACCTAAAGTCTACGCTTGAATATAGGTCTCACCTTAACTTTCATTTTAAAATGAGACCATATTTTAGAAATTGATTTGAATGATTTTATAAATTATTCTAACACTTCACCAAACCTAGGTTTGATAAACATTCATTTTCAAACTACGGTGCTTATTTAATTGAAAGAACTTTACTTTTAATTAGAAAAATATGACAATGATGAAAAAGCAGGAAAACATAAACAAAATCAGATATGCGAAAGTTTGCTCACATTTTCATATCTTTGTTGAAATGAGTTGCAAATTACAACTTATTTTCATCAATCTTGGACAAAAAAAGTCATACTCAATTACGAGCTAGATTTTTCTTTCCATTTTAGGTCCAGTTTTGAAAATAATATAATTATTGGATCCCTTTTCAAATTTTGAATTCTAGTTCGAAATAACATGTTTCTAATAAAAACAGTATTCAAAATTTCCTTTCTAAATTTTTGTTTTCTCAAATAAACAAATTTTCAGATTCTCAATAACCGTTTGGATGATACATGTATATACATAAATATTTTCGAAAGGAATGAATTAAGATTTGAATTCTTCTTGACTCGAACTTGTTCTCACTTAGTTCCCCTGCGAAAATTGGCTTAGGGATGGTAAAAAAAAAAAAAAACCCACCCACAAGACCAAAAACAAAGATTGATAAGAACAAAGAAAATATTTGATGTTCTAAATCAACTTTGATAATAAAATCACCGCAATGATCTTTACAACTGTTTATACATCAGATAAGATTACTAAACCTTAAACATAATTGTTTTGGTTTATAAACAAGCAAAGAAATAACTTGCTTTCTTGAACATGACTTTAACTAAAATGCGAAAGCCATGTCATTGTCCTAAATATCTCAAAACAAAAATAGAACATATACATAGGTCCATCTCAATATCATGATTATATGAATGGCCTTAACAATAGCAAGTCATTAGAACTACCCCAAATTGAGGGCTCCAAGACTTGAGAAATAGCAAGAATGCGCATAACCCGACACATGGGGGCTCTAATATCCACAAAGAAACAAAATGAGACATTCATGCCATTCGAGCTACTTTCGAGAATCGCCTAAATAGTAGTAGATCTCGAGCGTTATAATTTTCAAATGCATCACAATGATTTAATAATCATTTTGTTCCTTTGAAAACTAAGTTTGCAACTGAACTTGGCAATAAAACAAGTTACATATTCGAGCCATTTTCAAGTTCAACTTCGAGAACTAATCTTAGTGAATAATTGTTGTTTCAATACTTCAATTTACTCTAGAGACTAGAGAGTATGACTAGTGTAGAGCAACAAAATCATGATACTTGCTCATACGAAAGTTTAATACCCAATCATTCATCATGAAAATTTTATCAAGACACATTATTAACATAAGACAAACAGTTTCATGAGTTAGAATGTAAACAAAAGACTCCTAAATTCGAAATTAAGGATTCTTCATTCTAAATTATTCTCCATTGTTGCACACATTGGAATTTTGCAAGGAGGATAACATCTACTTTCTCAAGATTCAAAATAGTGACAAAATTTTAACTCAAAAGAAGGAATTCAAAAGTAGTAAGAATAGACGAAAAATTTGAACAACATTTCATTTTTCCCCTTACTTGTTCTAATGAATGACCAATATTACTAGACTTAGCAAATTTCTTTGTGAAAACTATGAATGGTCAAGAAACGGTTTAAACACACTAGTTTAATCGTTTCCAAGATCCTAGTTGTTATCATAATAAGACGAAAAACGGGTTCATACATGTTTAAACTTGATTAATAACGGACCCAAATGCGTCAAATGCAATGATCGAATCCAATGGAACCTACATTGTTGAAAAACCGAGACAAACAGATGAACCAACTATCAAATTCCCATGAAAGGCCTGTACAGATGGATAGCCCTTTCAAAGAGATTTCCAACGGTATATTATAATCCCAATTCCGAGCTAAAACGAAGAAGTTATGATCAAAACACTAAACAGGGCCCTAAAACCGACACCCTTGCACTATAACGGCCATAACTTTTGATCCATAACATATTTCAACCTAATTACAATGGAATTGGAAAGTAGACATTCATATCTTTCCAATGATATCTCACACGCCTTAATCCGACTTCGCAATCAAAAGTTATGGAAGTTTTAACAACGCGATTTCGTAAAAGGCAAACCGCAAACCAGCGCAACTCAATCAGTTGCGCGCGCCTGGCACGCGTGACTCAGAGAGTTGAGAGCGCCACCCGAAGGTGTGGCTCTAAAACCCTAAACCTATATCCCTACCGCCTATAAATAGGGGTCTTCGTTCAGCATTACGAGGACTGGAAAAATCAGAATTAAAACCCTATTATTCTCAAAACCCTAATCTCTTTACTTCTCTTACCATCATACTACTTTTCCCTCTTTCTTCCCAACTACTCTTCAACCCTAATCCATCCGTTGAAACTCTTGAAGGGACGAAGAATAAAGAAAGTCCATAAACATATTAAACGGAGATTTAACATAAAAGAAGAATGGTTAGTTTCTTGAGCACTTAGATAAATCACTTTTATTTTATTGTTTAAATAACTTTAATTGAATAAATAGTGTTGTTTGATCACTTTAAACAAACTTTTAATTAATTCACATAGAATTCTTTTGTTAATAAAGAATAAAATTTGATAATTAATTGTTTTATCACTTTAGACTAGGCGAATATTGTATATTTTGTTCTTTTCACGAATATTGATTAAACAAAGAATAACGACTTTTGCAATGTAATTCCTATGTGATTAATGCTTGTAAATAAAATCAACTAACTTAGTCTTTAGGTATCACGTTGCATATATTGTTTGGTAATGAAATTGTGAAAAAGGAAGAGCTAGTAGAGGATGTACTAGGGCTAAGATAGCGATTCCCCTCTAAAGGTAACGTTATCTTAGTACCCTCGCTCCCGAACTCTTTTCTGGTTTATGTAGACCAATTTGGGCATGGGTAAACTTATGATTCGTGCTAATTTTTCCATGAACTTTACATGGGAGAAAGGCATAAACGAGGTTTATGAGCTTTCCTAAAACTTATTGGCGACTCCTACTTGTTTCTTACCAAAAAAAAGCGTGATGAGAGTATCATTTCTAATCCAAGGTCTCCCAAACAGTCAGAAATTTAAATCCTAATACACCCTAACAAGTGTAAAGTCCTAGGCTTTTAAATGGCCATGGGCATTTAAGGAAGGACCCCCTTACGATGGGATCACCCTCCATACATAAAGTATTTTTCAGAAATTGTATTCTTTGTGTTTTTTGGTAAATGGCTCCCTAGTGTTAGTAGTTTGATCTAATATTTTATTTAGATTCACTTGTTGATGTACTGATCGATGCATATGCTTTAATGTGTTACAGGGTCAAAAGATTATGTAGACATCCATGTATGAATACCGAGAAACAGTAGAAAAAAGTGACAACTAACACTGCAATATTTCAAGGACAGAAGAAAGATATATTTAAGCTCCTTAATGATTTCAATTAGTGATTTGAAATTTGTTTCACTACAACTAGTCACGAATGAATTTTAAGTTGCAATTATAATTGTTGTAATCGAAATTCATTACTATGAGATATTGTATATATGCTATAATATATTTATAGGCAATATAAAAATTTCGGTATAATTTTGTTGTACTTCTTAATTGTTTTGGTAATATATATTAGTATAATAGAAATCATTGTCAGTGAATGAAATCTTTAATTTTAGTATTTTTGATATTTTTTAAAAAAGAATATGGACAAGATAAAGCGTCCCCAAATTAGAAAACGTGGACAAAAAAAAGCATCGCCAAAATGTTAGACAACAAATGTATGAAAATATGGATATAGAAAAGCGTCATCAATTCTAAGATTCTTGACTACAAAAGGCGTTGCCAAAGATAAGAAAGTGCGCCAACTATTGCCAGTTGTGACGCTTCGTATAAAAATTCGACACAATAAAGCGTCGAGATTCGCGACGCTTTTTGATTTCCAACAAAATTCTCGATGCTTCTAAAAAGCGTCGAGAGAAAATTTTGCGACGCTTTTTAGTGTCGAAAATAAGGCTAAAAAGCACGCCTTTTGTAGTAGTGGATGCATGTTTAGGGATGTATCAAGAACTTAGTATCATGTATAGAGAAGACTGGGCTAAATTGTTTTGTTATACATTGTGATTTCCATATATTGTGCATGAGGCATGTTTGAGATATAATAAGTATATGACTATGGTTGTGGGTGATGTATACATTATTGTCTTACCAATTGGATATGTTATGATTAATTAAAGGTTATGGATTCTTGGTTGTCTATAAGTGGATTAATTTTGATAATGGTTCCATGAGGTTAATTTAATACTCTTTCATGAATTAATCATGATTTGAGTTGAGGGAGGTTATTAAAGTCTTTTAAGACGAGGTTCAGGATCTGAAGTGCCCTATGCACTTAAGGTGTTTATACACCGAGGTAGTTAAAGGATTCAATAATAAATATTGTTTACCACTAATAAATCAAGAATTGAATTGGAAATTTGGATTGCTTGGAATGATGTGATATTTGATTGATTATATTGTTTTACATATGAGTCATCACCAATTCTAAACTTGTAAATCACGTAAAGTGCAAGATGGATGAGCAATAAAACTCTGGATTTGTGCACATCTAGAGTATTGACAATCAGGGGTTGGGTTACATGGGGTATTAGCCGTGCACTTTTCTAGAGGTCGTCTGATCTACGAGTCTCTTATTTCAAATACTTTTCAAAAACTAGGAGTTAGATGAGATCTCATACTAGCTACACTCACGGAATCGCGCCTGTGGTCGTTGGATGTTTTATTGATGTTTCCGAAAAGAGGCATGGGGTTTTTCTTTTATTGATGTTCCAAATGGATCATGGGATGGACAACCTTGTCTATTGCTTAATTGGGTTTTGATTAAGGGCCTTAATGGTTCCAACTTGTAAGATTTAGTTTGGTTTTTTTAATTATTAGTTTGAAACTTTAATTTAATTAAACTCATTTTCCGCTGCTAAATTCTAAAATAGCCTTAATGTTTGAACACGTGGCGGTAGCACGTTAGTAATTCTCTTGGATTTTGTTTAAGGTATTCACAGGTTTAAAGAGAGAATTATTGGGGTGTTACACTGGTAAAATGAGGTTAGAGGTTCTGCTATGTTTTATGTATGGGCAAGATTAAAGATGATTATGTGAAGATAAGGAGCTTGCATGGAGACGAATTTAAGGGCATTATAGAAAGAATTGAGAGTGAGATTGCTCGGGTAGATTTGTTTGTTGTTCAAACTCGTCTACAAAATGACTACTCTGATTCTTCTCTTCTTCAGCAAGAAAGCGATTATGCTGCAATTCTTAAAAAGTGGCTAAAAAATTTAGAATCTCCTCTAAGGAAAAAAAAATCAAGAGTTCAATGGCTTCACATTGGAGACTTTAATCATCAACTGTTTTATTCTTCTATCAAAGAGAAGAATAGTTTTAATAGAATCTCTGTCATCTATCATGAGAAAAATGAGAAATTGACTAAGAATGAGGATACTTAGAATGAGATCCTCAGACTATGGTGGCTTACTTGGGTCATGTGCTACTTAGCTTTCTATGCTTGATCAATCTATAATGAGAGATGGGCCTAGACTGTCTACTGATCAAAGATTATATCTCAGCCAACTTGTTACTGATCTTGAAATAGAAAGTGCTTTGAATGGAATTGATGATAAGAAAGCTCATAGTCTGAACGGAATAAACTTTGTATTCTTCAAGCAGGCTTGGATTATAATGAAGCAGTATATTTGCACAGCTGTTAAGGAGTTCTTTGACAAGAAACAACTTCTTAAGCAAGTCAATTGCACTTCTGTCACATCGATCAAATCTTTATAATCTTCACTATTTTTTTAATATTTGAAATTCAAATTAATTTCTTGGAGGTTTTGAACATATAATTAAATTTTAAAAAATAAAATTATTGTTGAAATAAGTAGTACGTAGTACATAACATTTTGGCACAATTTATGTTAAAAATATGATTTACTTGTTATTTTTTAACTTTAGTTTATATAGTTTTCAATGTATATATTATGGAAAGACATATCAAATATTTTATTTATGTATAATTTTTCTATCTTTCTATTTATTTATAAGAGTTGTAAAATATTTTATTTATGTATTATTTTTCTATCTTTTTTATTTATGTATAAGATTTGTTACCTAAAAATTATTTTTTTTTAAAAAAAAAAAAAAAAACTAAGGAACACACTAGAAAATGACATGTGTCAATATTGGTGAGTCTTTTAGTATATAGTAATTGATGATTTGAAGAAGAATTGACAAATTTAAAAAGAAAAAAAAAAGAAGGTGGTTTGGGAGGGAAAAACAGTGTCAAGAAGTGACACTTGTTATTCTTGGTGCCTGATTTAGTATTAAATTATTTTTTGATATTTTTTATTATGATAGTAAGTGTAGACACCTACTTTTGGCCTCTTGTCCCGAAAGGAAGTGCAATGATTTTACAAAATTCCGTTCTTCATGTTAGATCAAAGTTGAAGTGTTTATGGACTACGAAAAGCATTATGAATTAAGTTAAAACCCATATTTAAGACCAAGTTATCTTAGATCCTTTTCCTATTACAACTTAGGCCTAAAACATGTTCATACATGTTTAAACTTGATTAATAACGGACCAAAATGCGTCGAATGCAATGATCGGATCCAATGGAACCTACATTGTTGAAAAAACCGATCCAAACAGATAAACCAAATATCAAATTCCCATGCAAGGCCTATACAAATGGATAGCCCTTTCAAATATATTTCCAACGGTATATAATAAGCCTAATTCCGAGCCAAAATGAAGAAGTTATGATCAAAACACTAAACCGGGCCCTAAAACCGACACCCTTGCACTCCAAGGGCCATAACTTTTGATCCATAACATATTTTAACCTAATTCTAACGGAATTACAAATTAGAAATTTAGATCTTTCCAATGATATCTCACACGCCTTAATCCGACTTCGCAATCAAAAGTTATGAAAGTTATAAAAACGCGTTTTCGTATAAGGAAAACCGCAAACCAGCGCAACTCAATCAGTTGCGCACGTCTGGCGCGCGCGACTCATTGAGATGCGCACGACACCCAGAGCGACTCAGAGAGTTGCGCGCGCCATCTGACAGCGCGGCTGTGAAACCCCAAACTTAGATCTCTACGCCTATAAATAGTGGTCTTCGTTCAGCATTACGGGGACCGGAAAAAATCAGTATTAAAACCCTAGTATTCCAAAAACCCTAATCTCTCAACTTCTCTTACTATCATACTTCTTTTTCTTCTCTCTTCCCGAACACTTTCAACCCTAATTAAATCCATTGAAGTCCTTGGAGGTACGAAAAAGAAAGAAAGTCCATAAACACATTAAACGGCGATTTAACATAAAAGAAAAACGGTTAGTTTCCTGAGCACTTAGATAAATCACTTTTCTTTTATTGTTTAGATAACTTTAATTGATTAATTAGTGTTATTTGATCACTTTAAACAAACTTTTAATTAATTAATTCACATAGTACTCTTTCGTTAATCAAGACTAGAATTTGAATAATTAATTGTTGTACTGATTTATCACTTAAGACTAGGCGAATATTGTTTATTTTGTCCTTTTCACGAATATTGATTAAACAAAGAATAACGACTTTTGCAATGTAATTCCTACGTGATTAATTCTTATAAATTGTTTGGTAATGAAATTGTGAAAAAGGAAGAGCTAGTAGAGGCCATACTAGGGCTAGAATAGCGATTCCTCTCTAAAAGGAACGTTATTTTAGTACCCTCGCTCATGAACTCATTTTTGGTTTATGAAGACCAATTTGGGCATGGGTAAACTTATGATTTGTGCTAATTATTCCATGAACTCCACATGGAAGAAAGGCATGAACGAGGTTTTAAAACTCATTGGCGACTCCTACTTGTTTCTTACAAAAAAGCATGATGAGAGTATCATTTCTAATTCAAGGTCTCCCAAACAGTCAGGAATTCAAATCCTAATACACCCTAACAAGTGTAAAGTCCTAGGCTTCTAAAGGGCCAATGGGTATCTAAGGAAGGACCCCCTTACGATGGGATCGCCCTCCTTATAGTGGCGACTCCACTGGGGACTTAGAGGTTACAAGATTAGTTGTAGTTATGTTCAAGGTTTCCAACACTAGGTTGCCTATGGATTGTAACGAGAACTAACTTGGATAATCTCTAGTTAGAGAGCGAGACTCGAACGCATAATATCTTCCTTTTCACAAAAGTAAAAATCAAACAAGCAACATTGCATCATGCATAATCATAGCACAGTTTAACCATTGGGGATTAGCTCATTGACTAGGGGTCGCCAACACTAGGCTTCTATCTCAAAATCAATAACAATCATCCCACCCATATCGCCAACAAAATGTTGGGAGGGCTATGTCGTGGGTCATCATGTTGAGTGATTGATTCGTGCATCGTCCCTTAAGATATGGTACCTTTGGACCCCCAAGCCTTGACCTTAGAATGGCATTGTATGCTTTGACGGTTCCTTTTATGTGCTTATGTGACTACATGAATATGTGTTTCGTGTCTAATCTAACTAATTCTAACTTGTTACCTAGAGAA